CTACTCAGGAGAGACTTCGAGATGCAGAGGCAACACTAAAACGTGAACAGGAGAGTTTCAAACATATGCAGGTCGGGTTCATTATTAGATACGCTATGAATATTTTAACTGTGTGATTTAAATTTTCTAAGGCTATTTGTTTTTGATCGTGTACTTTGAGTTATCAAATGCTGAAAGAATGTATAAAGGGAACTCTAAGCACCATAACCACTGCAGTTCATTATAGTGTTTGTGGAGCAGAGAACATTTGCTGTCCCCTGTCAGACTGATTTCTGAAAGTGGTTAGCCCAGCCAAGAAACCTATGGTCAACATTAAACGTTTGATAGATACGATGCAGAAGTGAAACGTTTGACACTAATTAAGGTGTCCCCAACCAACATCCTGGCTCTGTGCCCTGCCGGAACTGGCATTAGTATAACTAATGCGGATTTAGACTTGTCATACCAACTCATACTAGAGATGGGTGCGAGTGCTGAAAGAGCCTATTAGTGCCTCCCATTTGCATTACACCAAACAGCAGAGAATGGCTTAGCTAACCTTGGACCCTCATTTAATTTTAATTTTAAACTGAGCAAAAATGGTTTCACACTGAACAGTGGGACAAGCCCAGGTCACACTTTTAAGAGTCTAAATCCCAGAGAGTAACCCCAGCTTTATTTCTCATTTACCGTTCGATTATTACCAGGGTAACCAGATCCACCATGTTTACCGAGACAGATAAATTTGTCATAGTTATGAAAACTGTTGTCCTGCAGCATGTATAATCCTTATTCTGCAGGATTCTTCATTGCTTAATTGCAGGACTGCTTAATCCCAATTTCTTAATGATTTCTACATATAACAGGGCTATATATATGTATGTGTGTGTATTAAGGCCATTTGGCCTGTATTTGTGGGAGGGGCTTAAATTAATTCACTCCCCTATATAAGGGACACCCCTTACCTGACTCCATATCGCTTGAGGTCAGCATCAGAATGATTTCCACTTCCGGGTCATCCAGTGTGGTGGAACCAGCCTCGCCACTGTTCACTGGAGAATCTTGGTTGCTCGCCTACTCCCTTTAGAATATGGCCCGCCATTTAAAACCTTTTATTTTCTCTGCAGAAAGGCATATTCGTGCCTTTCTGCCGGGGTGGTCGGTAGATTAAATCTACCGAACGATCGACCACCTGGGAACTGGAGTGTGCCGTCAATTGACCGCCCAGAAGCTGTGGTTAACTGCAGCTTAATTGACGAACGCTGGGTGGCCTTTGTTCGTTTGCCGAACACTTGGCAGCGGCCATTTTAACTCCCGAACGGCCAGCGGTGTTCAGCACCCAAACTATGGAACTGGAAACGGACACTTATTTGCGCGAACACCGCTGAGCCATCAGCCTCCTTACCTCTGCATTCGGTAGTTTGACCGTATGAACGGCATCACCCCAGATAGCTATGCCATGGAGCCTATTCGTGTAACAAAAGACTATGGAAAAGACTTTGGCTCCATGGCGATTGAACTGTATGTATGTGATCTGAGCGCCATTCGGTAATAATGTGCGCTCAGATCTAAGCTATCTGGGGATATGTAGAATGTGTGTGTTTAAGGTAACCGTATGTAATTTTATGTCTTTTTACTGAAAATGTGTGTAATGGAGTTTTGCCTCTGTCCTTGGAGATAATTGGATTACTTCCCAATTATCTCCAGGCCAGAGAGGAGGGATTGTGATGCATTGTGGGATTGTTGAAATGTGTAAGTCTGTGATTGGTCCTTTTACCCTTTGTGTCCCAGTCTTCCATCTGGTCCCCTAGGGGAGTGTCCACCAGGTGGGAGACCTACATAAAAGCTGGGCAGGTAGCCCCAGTAAACCAGATTCTGCTTGACCCTCAAAACGAAGTGTCGTCGCGTTCTTGGGGGGAATTGGATTGTATGCTGATTGCCAGGAGTGTAAGCTGATTGTATGCTTTTCCTGTTCGGCTGTTTCCAGTATTCGTGTGTTTCCGGTTCGGGAGTTGGAGGATTCGTGTAGTTTGCAGCTCGGGAGATTGGTGCTTGCAGTAGCTGTCCGTGCATCTGGAAAGGGGAATGTCGCCTAAACTGTTTTTAACCTCTTGTGTGCAAAACAGTCTGTTACATCCAGATGCCATTTTACCTGAGGTTTTCTACGCTGAGCCGTGTCAGGAATCCAGCCACAGGCTTTTCCTGCCTACCACCTTCTTTCTTCAATCCATCGCCGTGGATGGTGTCCAAGTGACTCACAAACCGTAAGTCAACCTACCCGTTACGCCAGGCATCAGTCCCACGGCACCATGCACGGGTCAGGTCCTCACTTCACGACTGCATTTTGTCTAAGTCTGTTCTAAAACCATTGCATGTTCATGCATATCATTTGTTTAAACTTACTTGTTTATATCTGTCACTGGCTCATTTCGAGCATTAGCATACTCCCGAACGGGAAGACATTCTGTTTCAATTGCCTAAACATACTAGGCAATTCTGTGCGTGCATTTCGAATCTCACTCCTCATTTCGTTTTGTTTCCCTGACATACCAGGCTCACGGTTCGTTCAATTTTCTACCAAATGGGAACTAGTTCATGCATTTACTATTGTACTACA